AGTCAGACCTCTCTAAATGCACGCCCTTGGGACCACACTTTAACAACGTGCATATAGAGAATTATAAGAAAAAGTGCATTTATAGAGGTCAAGTATATATTTGGGCCAGAATTTAAGTGTGCATTTAGAGAGGGTGTGCACTTATGGAGGGTGCACTTAGAGAGGTCTGACTGTATTTGGGCCAGAATTTAAGTGTGCATTTAGAGAGGGTGTGCACTTATGGAGGGTGCACTTAGAGAGGTCTGACTGTAGTTACATGTTTAGTGCAAAGGTAGCGAATTTCGCATCTTAACACAAACATGGGTTGCTAGCTATGCTATAAAAAACAAATACGACGCTATTTTTAAATGCTACAAAAACCGAAGACCTTGGGACGTATTTTATATTTACCTATTACACGCATATCGATGCAAATTCATTCACGTTTTATATCTGTGATCACCGGCCAATCAAAACACCGGATTTGCACACTTGCATTCTAGTTTGATAATTTATGGTAAGGCCAAACTGTTTTCCCAACTAGAGATGTAATCTAAGCTATTTGGGATGTCCCGAATTATGTGATAACTAGCACTGCTTTAGCATTATTATTACCAAAACTGTATGATACTAATCATTACATAGTTTGTGACGTCCCAGCTAATTTAAGTTGCATTCTATTTCCAACAAACCCAATGACACTGTTTTTTAAAAATCTTAAGATAGGTCGACCTTTTTCTATGAATACTATGCATATTTGCACATCTATTACGTAGCTATATTTTAAGAATTACTATCGTTTCTCGAATCTCCGACTCAATGCCTATGACTCGGTTTTTGAATTCGGTTAAGAATAGATTGCAAACACCACTTTCACTTCTATAAGAATCTATTTAAACACTATTCGTATAACTTATTACATTAAGATGTCAAGATGTATTCTTTTTTAATAAGATACAGTACTACGTAACACTAAAGTTAACCCTGTTTTTGCGACTGCGTTGCGCAGTTATCTAATTAGCTTAACGTTAAATTATCTGACTTGAATAGTCTTGTTGCAAATCTTGGTTTGTTGATTACAGGATTATGAATATAAAATTTTTATAAACTTATTAATAATTAGGATTTAGGATTTGGGATCTGGAATTTGGATTTGGGATTTGGGATTTGGGATTTGAGTAAAGTTTGGGATTTGACTAAGGTTTGGGATTTTGTTATCCAAAATTTAATTTGTCCAGTTTGACTATTTGGGATTTTTAAGCATAGATGGACAATCCCATTTGTCCTGGCATGTCCAGGCCCAATCCCAAGTCCCAACTATTTAGACGGCAATTATGCTGTACATACACTAGTGTATCTTAAGAAATTTTCTTTTAAAACTATCCAAACTTCAATATTTGAGTAATTTTAAATGCCCACTCATATTCACAGGACTATGTACGTACGTCGTAAAAATAACAGATAATGGTTTAAGTCACATGGTTTTTGTTGGCTTTGTAAAAATATTTCAAACCTTTTCAGAATTTAGCGACTTACAATCATGTGAACTTTTATGATGTTTGCTGGCTTAGCCGGCTAAGCCAATTTAACTGCTGCTTCCTTATCCGGATTAAATAAATGCATTTGGGTCAAGCCTATAATAAACAGGTTAACTACACGTGTGTCACTATCTTCGCTTAATCAATCAAATTAAAGCACGCAAATCATTATCGTTATTGGATTTTTCATGTGATTAATTGATTTTTGACAAGAGCTACAACCTTTTTTTATCCATTTTGAAAATAAGAAAGAATTCCTAAAAACTTGACTATATGGAAAGTGAAGCTGCGCGGGAAGAAAAACTATTGGTAGCCAAGAAGAAGGTATTTTTTTATTTTCTTTTTATTAAAAATTCGTTTCAATTTCTAGTTTAACCTTATGTTTAGCTCAGGAAATATCAGAAGAAAAAAGCCACAAATGCTTCTACTGATGGCTCTTCGACTTCAACACGTAGAACAAGTTTAGAATCTACCGCCGCAACAAGCACCAGAAGGTCCAGCGTAACCTCGGACTCAGGAAGTGTTAGAACTGACGGAACTAGCCAAGAGTAAGTACTTGAATATCTTTATTTGCTTAAGCTTTGCCGGATCTGCTTAAGCATGCAAGGATCTTGCAATATTGGTAGTATTTGTCGAAGGATGATTTAAAAAAAAATACAGAACATCTAAGATTGAACTCTGTTATAAGAGCAATGATAAAAATATTATTCATACTGATGACAAAACAAAAATCAAATAAATTTTCTTTAGTATATATTATTCGATTCGCTAATATCGTTCATAATTGGTACAGGATAAATACAACCGTTGATGAAAATAATGCGCTTGCCGATGTTGTATCAAATAATAATGAAATACCAGCAAGCCAAGCTTTACCGTGAGTTTTTTTTTATTTATTACCAATAATTATTATTTCAATAATTATTATTTTAGATATATTCTGTAAATTTAACGCAATTCATTCATCGTTTTTCGTTTTCTAGTTTAACATCTCATGGTTCTTTGGTTGAAGGTCTACAACCAATCACGTTACCTCCTGGACAACAATCTCAAACGGACCTTTTATCAAATACAATTGATTCTGTTCCTGTTGAAAATACGATATCTTCCGGCATATCAGGCAACGAACCTTTTTCTTTCGAAGCGCTTGCTAACATATGTCGTATGCAACAACAAACTATCGCTTTACTTGTAGAAGAAAAGACTGCGTTGGCATCAGAATTAGAAAAATATTCTGCAATGGCTGATCGTTTTAAAAGTAGTGAGGAATTGTTGGAAGAGGGTCAATTGTTAGTCGACGCTTTAAGACGTCAGAATAGTGAATTGGAAGAAAAGATTCGAAATGGTGAAGATCGATTGAAAGATTCAGATGATCAGAAAAAAAAAATAATAGAGTCATTACAATCACAAGTATTCTATTTATTACATTTATGTTAATAGATTTAACTCGTTATATTTCAAAATCGGTTTTTTTTTAACCTTTTAATTTCAATTATAATTTAGAATACACGTGTTGAACAGCTAGAAAAGGATAACAAGCAACTTATGTCCCAATTGAATAATAAAGATTCAATAATCGAACAACTCACTACAGAAAAGGCAAAAATTCGTTCTGTATCTGATGAAGTAGAAGCTTTACAAAAAACCCTTCAAGATAAAGAAGATAGATGTGAGGCACTTGAAATAGAATTATCAAATCTACGACATTTGTTAACTAATGCGGAGCAACAACTCTCTGAAAAAGAAACCAAGCTTTTGGTCATCGAGTTAAATCTATTAACATAAATGTAATAAATAGAATACTTGTGATTGTAATGACTCTATTATTTTTTTTTTCTGATCATCTGAATCTTTCAATCGATCTTCACCATTTCGAATCTTTTCTTCCAATTCACTATTCTGACGTCTTAAAGCGTCGACTAACAATTGACCCTCTTCCAACAATTCCTCACTACTTTTAAAACGATCAGCCATTGCAGAATATTTTTCTAATTCTGATGCCAACGCAGTCTTTTCTTCTACAAGTAAAGCGATAGTTTGTTGTTGCATACGACATATGTTAGCAAGCGCTTCGAAAGAAAAAGGTTCGTTGCCTGATATGCCGGAAGATATCGTATTTTCAACAGGAACAGAATCAATTGTATTTGATAAAAGGTCCGTTTGAGATTGTTGTCCAGGAGGTAACGTGATTGGTTGTAGACCTTCAACCAAAGAACCATGAGATGTTAAACTAGAAAACGAAAAACGATGAATGAATTGCGTTAAATTTACAGAATATATCTAAAATAATAATTATTGAAATAATAATTATTGGTAATAAATAAAAAAAAACTCACGGTAAAGCTTGGCTTGCTGGTATTTCATTATTATTTGATACAACATCGGCAAGCGCATTATTTTCATCAACGGTTGTATTTATCCTGTACCAATTATGAACGATATTAGCGAATCGAATAATATATACTAAAGAAAATTTATTTGATTTTTGTTTTGTCATCAGTATGAATAATATTTTTATCATTGCTCTTATAACAGAGTTCAATCTTAGATGTTCTGTATTTTTTTTTAAATCATCCTTCGACAAATACTACCAATATTGCAAGATCCTTGCATGCTTAAGCAGATCCGGCAAAGCTTAAGCAAATAAAGATATTCAAGTACTTACTCTTGGCTAGTTCCGTCAGTTCTAACACTTCCTGAGTCCGAGGTTACGCTGGACCTTCTGGTGCTTGTTGCGGCGGTAGATTCTAAACTTGTTCTACGTGTTGAAGTCGAAGAGCCATCAGTAGAAGCATTTGTGGCTTTTTTCTTCTGATATTTCCTGAGCTAAACATAAGGTTAAACTAGAAATTGAAACGAATTTTTAATAAAAAGAAAATAAAAAAATACCTTCTTCTTGGCTACCAATAGTTTTTCTTCCCGCGCAGCTTCACTTTCCATATAGTCAAGTTTTTAGGAATTCTTTCTTATTTTCAAAATGGATAAAAAAAGGTTGTAGCTCTTGTCAAAAATCAATTAATCACATGAAAAATCCAATAACGATAATGATTTGCGTGCTTTAATTTGATTGATTAAGCGAAGATAGTGACACACGTGTAGTTAACCTGTTTATTATAGGCTTGACCCAAATGCATTTATTTAATCCGGATAAGGAAGCAGCAGTTAAATTGGCTTAGCCGGCTAAGCCAGCAAACATCATAAAAGTTCACATGATTGTAAGTCGCTAAATTCTGAAAAGGTTTGAAATATTTTTACAAAGCCAACAAAAACCATGTGACTTAAACCATTATCTGTTATTTTTACGACGTACGTACATAGTCCTGTGAATATGAGTGGGCATTTAAAATTACTCAAATATTGAAGTTTGGATAGTTTTAAAAGAAAATTTCTTAAGATACACTAGTGTATGTACAGCATAATTGCCGTCTAAATAGTTGGGACTTGGGATTGGGCCTGGACATGCCAGGACAAATGGGATTGTCCATCTATGCTTAAAAATCCCAAATAGTCAAACTGGACAAATTAAATTTTGGATAACAAAATCCCAAACCTTAGTCAAATCCCAAACTTTACTCAAATCCCAAATCCCAAATCCCAAATCCAAATTCCAGATCCCAAATCCTAAATCCTAATTATTAATAAGTTTATAAAAATTTTATATTCATAATCCTGTAATCAACAAACCAAGATTTGCAACAAGACTATTCAAGTCAGATAATTTAACGTTAAGCTAATTAGATAACTGCGCAACGCAGTCGCAAAAACAGGGTTAACTTTAGTGTTACGTAGTACTGTATCTTATTAAAAAAGAATACATCTTGACATCTTAATGTAATAAGTTATACGAATAGTGTTTAAATAGATTCTTATAGAAGTGAAAGTGGTGTTTGCAATCTATTCTTAACCGAATTCAAAAACCGAGTCATAGGCATTGAGTCGGAGATTCGAGAAACGATAGTAATTCTTAAAATATAGCTACGTAATAGATGTGCAAATATGCATAGTATTCATAGAAAAAGGTCGACCTATCTTAAGATTTTTAAAAAACAGTGTCATTGGGTTTGTTGGAAATAGAATGCAACTTAAATTAGCTGGGACGTCACAAACTATGTAATGATTAGTATCATACAGTTTTGGTAATAATAATGCTAAAGCAGTGCTAGTTATCACATAATTCGGGACATCCCAAATAGCTTAGATTACATCTCTAGTTGGGAAAACAGTTTGGCCTTACCATAAATTATCAAACTAGAATGCAAGTGTGCAAATCCGGTGTTTTGATTGGCCGGTGATCACAGATATAAAACGTGAATGAATTTGCATCGATATGCGTGTAATAGGTAAATATAAAATACGTCCCAAGGTCTTCGGTTTTTGTAGCATTTAAAAATAGCGTCGTATTTGTTTTTTATAGCATAGCTAGCAACCCATGTTTGTGTTAAGATGCGAAATTCGCTACCTTTGCACTAAACATGTAACTACAGTCAGACCTCTCTAAGTGCACCCTCCATAAGTGCACACCCTCTCTAAATGCACACTTAAATTCTGGCCCAAATACAGTCAGACCTCTCTAAGTGCACCCTCCATAAGTGCACACCCTCTCTAAATGCACACTTAAATTCTGGCCCAAATATATACTTGACCTCTATAAATGCACTTTTTCTTATAATTCTCTATATGCACGTTGTTAAAGTGTGGTCCCAAGGGCGTGCATTTAGAGAGGTCTGACT